TAAACGTAGCTTAATTTCACTGGAAATACACGCCCTTACTCACTGCAAAGAGAAATTACTGACTTCTTTTTGAGATTATTAGAAATTAAGCAAATAGCAACTCTGTTCTTGAACACTTGGCAAAATGACAAAGCCTTAGGTTGTCAGATGGTTTCTAAACAGTTCCCAAATTGTAACTCCATAAGACATCAGTTTAAAAAAACTACACATTAGGTATTACAAGAATGGCTGTCAATAACAGCAAAGCTTTCTCTGAATTAATAAAAGATTGGAGTTTTTAAAACTGTTTTTAAAAATTCAGTAGAAAACAACAGACTTTTTTGGAGCAATGGTCGTTTTCTAACATTTCAGGAGGCATGCAGACATATATGCCGCAAACCGTCATAAATCCACTTTGTGATTCGTCAGTCTTTCCAGAAAACTAGTATCCAAATATTTTAACCATGTGTTGTTTATTTAGAAAAACACTGAAAAATTAACCTAATAAATTAGTAGTAATTTTAAAAAAATGATATACAGCATTAACTTTGTAGGTTTCAGGTTGCGATGAATGTTGTTTTTTAATTACAGGAATTTCATTTTGTCAGCAACTTGAATTCCCGAATTGAAAAAGTCTTCTTTTTTAACTTCATAATTTTTATTCGACAGTCCTCTCAGTGACTGTTTCACAATAATTCATTATTATACGGCAATGTACAGCAAACAGCACTGAAAGGTTATTTTTAATAAATTCTCAGTGTTTCTGCAAAAAAGTCATTTGAAGTGAAAGACCTGTCGTTTAAACAAAATTTCAAAATCACTTCTAATGTTATCATACTACTTTGAAAGTGAATTTTGTCTTATCGCCCAAATGACTTTTTCTGCAAGTCATTCTCGAAGTTCAAGTGTTTATGTGAGTTTTACAACAGACAAAATAATTAGAGTAAGGTAGAAGTATAATACTTGCTATTTTTAATGAGTGTTGTTATATGAGAATTATAACAGAAAGTGCAAAAGAGGTGTGGCTTTAAGATATGGATGAAAGTGCAAGAAACGTAAAAAATGTGCTAACCGATGATTCAGTGGGCCTCAGTTACAGCCGCTTATCGGTAGCCGAAAACACTGCCAAGCCCTGCAATCTTCTAAAACCACTATTACTGATGAGTGTCCTGTAACGACACTTTTGACGAAACGTGACCTGCCGCTAATTCATTTTGCAGGGTTATTCACACACAGAAATTTTGTCATTTTTGTTTGGAACCGTTTTTTTTTTTCTGCAGTTCTTAAAAATTGTTGTCCAGTCACTTACTTCCCAAACATTGGGTTTAAAATGATGTTGTGAGCTATGTTGTACTTTTGCTGCGAAGCTTGAAACGGTTTACCAGCAGTAAATAGGGAACCATTTCTATCTGACTGTTCTCAGTCAAAACGGCTTTATGTCATAAGTTTTTTGATCAGCAAATGTAGGCACATAGTCTATAACCTAAGCTTATGCGTTTTTGGTGTTCTTTTTTATCAGTTGTTTAGAAAAAGAAAAAAACTTTTTTCTTTTTATCGAGAGTGTGCTTTGCTACTAACTAAAAACACAGATTTATACAATATATTTTTTAAACCTTCTGCATAATTTCATCTTCTTCTCGTTGAATGAGTAACTAAAAATTGAATCAACACAGAACCCATCTTTAGAGGGCTATATGATGTCCGCATGCCTTACTTCTTAGATGGATTATGTACGTTCTGTTGCATTGGACTTGGAAGCAGAAATTTTCCAGAAAAAGTCAGTATAAATAAAAGTTTTTTCGCCTCAAAATAAATTCACCAGTACCGCTTGAAACGACTACTAGATACATTATCCAGAATTCTTCATCTGTATTACTGTTTACTGTCACCTTTTACAACTGACCTACTCGAAACAGTCTTGTTCTTGTCATCTCAGATATGCTTTAAATGAGGTGATTTCTTTTCCGCCTTTTTTGTAAAAATTATTAAATTGAAAAAAATTAAATCTAAAACTTTATTGACTGGCGCCTACTTCTTTCTTTGCTATTAAAAGCGATCAAACAGTGTAAACATTGGTGAATATTGTTATAATAAAGCATTTGAGACCACAATAAATAGAGTAACCAAAACATAGTCATTAATTATCAGTTTACTTAGCAAAAAAAACTTAATTGTAAAAACCGTAGACAAACACAGACGTCAAACAATATTAAAGCAATGATTAGATAAGCAAATTTTTCAAAAAAAAACTACTAGAATACTAATAGCTATGTACAGGTTCAAACTTTAAAATTTCATCAATAATTTATGAATTGTAGCAACTTTTTTTGGTTACAAGAAGCACTCCGACTCTTATGGTTTCTGGAAATGTTTAGCAAATCCGAAATCGTATCTTTCAGTAAAATGTAGCTCAATTTTTCTAGCCAGTAAAACAAGGTAGCAAACTTGTAAAATTAATACAATATAAAGACTGTTCTGTTTTTCAGCGCTGATCTGAATCAAAGCCAGTAACTTTCAATTATATTTTCTCAATGTTTTCGATAAAAAAAATTTAACATTATCTGCTAAGGCAACATAAGTTTTCTTATTTTTCCGTCATTTTTTAACCTACCGGTATTTCATGCTCAAAAAATCAGCTTTTTCTTCCGTCTCAAAAAGCCGTTTTATACATTTGGATATTCTGTGTTTCTTTGTTTCGTATTTAAGTGTCGATGTAATGCAGCAGCCAAAGAATTTGACTGAAACATGAAGAAGATACCAGTTGAATTATGCATCCTCATTAGTATTGTACACCACGTTACAGTCTTTGATTTGTTATATTATCATATGTGAAAGCTCCGGTGCCGCTCATAAAACCGCTTTCACTAAACTGTTTATAGCCGGTACTTGAGGGATACATTCCTTGACCATAAGTAGTCTGAAAAATTTTATTTTATAAATTTTTATGTAAGTTTCAATTTTTTAAACGTAAAAAGATTGTTAGAACAATTTTGCATTTTTGCTATCACTAAGTTAAAATCTTGATCATATTTTTCCAAATAACTTTTGGTCAAAAAGTAACATTGTCAAAATGAATAAGCTGTAATGTGATAACATTAAACACTTGTTGATTCATTTCTTTCGTATCTTTATAAAACTTTTTGCAAAAATAGAGGTAGTATTACAGCTAAAAGTTTTCTTGATTATTTGTTTTTTTTTTTTCTTGAGATTATCGACGGTTTAAGGTTTTGTAGACAAAAAAACGAAGAAAAGAACAGAAAGGTGATATTAAAAAAGGATATTATGATTATTTACCTGTAACATATTGTTGTCGTGAAAGCCATTTATTTTTTCTGACTGTTTAGCATCATTTTCGTTTCCAGGACCTTCCATTTTGCGCCCTCTAGCTCCACCCAGGAATATCATTTCAATCTTTGCAGACGGAAGCTCAAAAAGTGCACTCCAGAATAGGGCAAAGAAAAACGTGAAGAAAATCACTGGTAGTGTAAAGCTTACAAACTGAAAATCAAATATATTTACAATCACTATAATCAAAAGTAGAATTTCTTTTGCTTGAAAACACTCGTTTGGAAAAGGAAAACAAAAAAGCAATTCAAAGAACTGCACTCTCTCCTTGTTTATATTTTTAGCATTACTGGTGGTAAAATATTTTATGAGAATTTGATAAGTTTTGTGAACCTCATCGGCAAACACATCTTCCTCTAATTTTTGTCTACTACTACAGAAGAATCTTTATAGCAAAAAAATTAACTCATTCTGATAATTTTTATTTTGTCTACAATATAATAATATTGACTTTTGAACATTCTTACAGAATGCACTTCTTTCTGATTATAAAAAAGTGTAATTATTATTAAAAACAAGGTTTTTGAATGGTCTAGAAATACAAGTAACTGCTTCTTGAATTTTATTTTTTCTGACTGTGCTGTTAGACCAACATAAAAATGATGATAAATCACTTAATTCGCTGTAAAAAAATCGTCTTTTGAAAATTTGATACAGATTTTGTAGTCTTTCCAAACTAGAAAATAATTTGCTTATCAGCTTCCAACTGTTCCACCAATCGTTTGATTCTCTTGACATAATCTTAATCTTTCTTGATAACGTTACCGAAAAGTTCAAAATTTTTATTTTTGGGTTTTGTGCCTAATAAAACCTTCTTTTGATGCAAGTGGTGCTGCTTCTAAACTTCTAAACTTACTATTTTAGAAATCTTTTTGTTGAAGAAAATTATTTTAGATTCTAGTAATCAGTTTATAATCTCTAGCTGAGATATTCTTAAAGAAGAACTAATGTTTTAAAAAAAGTTTGAATAGTGCTACCTCCAATTCTTCACTCAGTTAAAAGAAAGAAGTTTAGTTTTCAGGTTGAAAGCATCTTTTTTGAAACATTCCAGTTATTCTAATGTTTGTCGTACCGTATGAGAAAAGTTGGTGAAGATTAACTGGTTGTTTCCCATTCCCAACAGGTAAAATATAATCATAAAATGAACTAAATAACAGCAGTAGGATAACCTTCCCAATGGAGCCCAAACACCCCATGACAGGAACCGGTCAAGAAAGCCTGAAATTAGCATAAATTGGTAATCCAAAAAAGTTAGTTGTCTCTATATGATCAAAAACTGTAAGTTAGTGTAAAATAAGACAAAATTCAAAAGTACGACGATGATTGAGCAATTTTACCTCCATGACCATAATAACAAGATATTACAATATAAGATAAGGAGAGACCCCAACCGATTTTGCTAAAAGCCGAGTAGAAAGCACTTTCTACAGGCTTATAAGTATGGTCACCAGTAACCCAATCTCGAAGCACAAACAGAACAGTTAATCCCAAACCAAGTGATAGAATCCAAAGTATTATGTTTACCAGCTAAAAGCGAACGATAGAAAGCGAAGGAAGAACACCGAAGTGACCGTAAAAATAGATCTTTGAAAAGCTATTTGAAAATAAAACCGAATTTATTTGAAAATTACTGGTTATGCGCCATTTGAAGTGGGTGACCAACATGTAATTAATTCCTAATAATCATAAGTGATATTTCAAAACTTGATGCGTTTTAAAAGAGCAAATAAGAACTTAAGCTTTAGAAAGCTATAGAAATTTAAGAACTAGAACGAAATAATGCTGAAGAAATGGTAGTTTTTAGACTTATTAAACAGTAAAGTACGAAATTAAAACAAAAACGTACGAATGGAATACGAAGCTTTTTCTTGGTTTGCAGAAAATAGCCAACCAACAAGCCCATAATATAAACTTGACATCGTATCCATGGAGCGTCATAAACCATCATTGTATAGAGACTTGAAAATCGACAGTAAAAATAAAACAAGGTGACAATAAAAGAAATTTCTACAGTAAAGTTAATTGTTAGATAATTCCACTAACTCCTGTTTGCTTTCAACTTTTCAGCAGTTACTAGCTCTTACTTTCACATGCTTGATTACATTCTTCTTGATATCTCAAAAAAAAAAAAACGTAGAGAAATTTTAAGAAAAAGTTGAAGAAACAATATATTTTAAAATAAGTTTGTTTTAGCCATATTCTGTAAGTTATCATTATTGGACTAGATTAAAAACTGAGCCACGATCACATATTTACAAAAATAATCTGAGATAAAATTTTGAACTTATATAGTAAGCCACTTCTTATATAGAGAAGAAAATGATTTTTGACGCACATCAAACCTAACAAGTGCCAAAAAAAAGAACTCAAAAAAAGCTACGAATGATTTATCTCGTTTCTAGTTTAAGTAACATTGTAAGTGAGTATTCAGAATTAAAAGGTAATTTTCAAAGTTATTCAGAGAAAAATTTTAAAGATATAAAATAACGTTATGCTTTTTCTGAAACATAAAAACCCTGTTTTTACTTCAGATAATTGATAGCTGTTTCCTGTTACTAAAGTTTTGAAGCTTTTTACTTGTGTAAAAAAAGCTTTGATATTATTTTATTTTTTTTAATATACAGTATATTATTAAAAACTATTGTATATTTAACTTTTTATTATGTTAAGTTAAAAATCCATCTTTTTTTTTTGTTTTAAAAATATCTTGTCTGCTTAAGAAAATTTTTATGAACTTAACGTATCAGCCGAGATTAGTTTAGTTTTGCTATACACCGTATCACAGTTACAATCAGTTAAAAATCTTACTTAAAGTCTTTCATTCGCGGATCTTGTTTACCAAGGCTAAAATCTGATGGTGGAAAATAGTAATGAAAGATGGTAACCATATTACCAGCAGTTGAAAAAGTAAATATTAGAGCTGCAGAAATAAAGCCCAGTACAGGTTTGATGGCTAATGGTATCAAAATTGCTGGAGCAAAGATAAACATTTGGAAATCTGTAGCCAAATACCAGGATATCAGATAGCACTGAAAAGGAGTGATAAACAGTTTAAATAAAGTAAAAAAAAAAAAGTAAAAGTTGGTCAGGAAAAAAAGTTTTTTTTTCTTCTTAATTTATTTAAAGATACCAAATTTCAAATTGCATCATTTTTATTTCTTTCAAACTTTTGTTGTTTACTTACTGTTACTATAATGTGCAACAAAAAACAAAACAGATAATAAAAAAGTAGAAATTACTTTAGGTGGTTTACCTGATTTTTATAGTCAATATAATTTGTCAGATACAAAAAGTTGATCCACCAATTTTTTTCACAACTATCTTTCAGAGAGAATAATAAATTTGGCATATTAAAAAGAAAGGTATTGTAGACAAAAGCGTAGAATGCAATCACCAAATAGTACGATGGCGATAATCTGAATTAATGTACAGCTTAGTTTAGCAGTTAAATAGCAGATGAACACAAAACAACTTTGAAAATTTTTTCTAGGTAAAACTTTTTGCTTTAATCAATATTACTGAAAAAATAAAATTTCAACAATTTACAACAAACTTAATGCAAAAATAAAATTTTTTTATTGTTGCTAACTTTTAAAAACAGTTAATTCTAAAAAGTAATTAGACGAACAATGTCTACTGACAAAAAAACTTGCAAAAAATTCATTACTTTTTGGTATTTATATACTCTTATCATTTGTTTAATTCAACTTTCTTTATTACAAATATTTGTTATCACTTTTTCACCCGTTTCTGCTCTAAGAAACAGTTTATTCCAATTTTAAAAGCAAATGTCTAATGTGTTTCTGATGGGTTTCTGCAGTTTTGTATGCTTGAATAAAAGAATTGAAAACGTACAACGGTTTAGCACTTTATTTATTCCCCCCCCCCC